TGCAAAGACTATGGTGACTTAAATTAAGTGTCAAAGTTTTAATGTATAAAATCTTAAAGCTGTTGTTGTGAACACATGCCATAACATGATTTAATTATGGCAAAGCATTCTTATAACAGTGGATTTGAACCCTATTTTGAGCCTCTATATAACTGAGAGATACAGAAGATTCACTTTTAAGGAGTCACAATGCTATTACTTTTTACTAACTGCTTAGTTTGAAAAATATTCAAAAATATTAGTAAGTGGGACTCTGCCTTTAGTTAATTAACATTATATAGTACATTCACCTTAAGACCTAAAATCATCATCAAATAATTAAAAATGTAAAGAACAAAATGTTTTTGTTCTATAAGATCATAGGAATCAGCTAAATAAAATATTCAAAGTGGATTCTTTGTGAGAATAAAATGCTGAATATTAGTTCCACTGGGATTGAGTTTGGGGAATCGCCTAATTTCTGTCTTTTCCATCTGTATGCAAAAGCATTCCCAACATCAGAAAAGTCACTCAATTCCAGGGTTTAAATACACTTCGGTGATGTAAAACATACTTTTATCACAGAGGCTTTGGATAGGCTGAGGATACTGAAGTGTTGATGTAAGCGTTTCATTGCTGTCTTGTCTGACACATGTATGTCAGGGTCATACCCACTAAATAAAATGAAAGGATCAGAGAGGTAGATGTGAACAATTATGAAGCAATCTCCTTCCTAAAATTTTGCTTGATCACTTGCACCCTGTTGAGTTTAGGTATGACTCTAGGTTTTCCAGTATTGATGAGACAATACTTAGAATGAGATTTCACCTAATAGCAAGCCTGGCTCTCTGATCCAGAGATACAAACCACTATTTTTTTTTTCTTTTTTTTTTTNAGCAAAACTCCATCTCAAAAAAGAAAAAAAGCAAAGAGGGAAGGAAAGAATGGAGTGAAGTGCATCTTATTGTTTGTTTGAGACAGGGTCTCGCTCGGTTGGCCAGGCTGGAGTGCAGTGGCATAATCATGGCTCACTGCAGCCTCGAACTCCCAGGCTCAAATGATCCTCCCACCTCAGCCTCCTGAGTAGCTGGGACTACAAACACGTACCACCACACTCAGCTATTTTTTTTCTTTTAGAGATATGGTCTCACCGCTCCTGCCTTTCCTTCCTCCTCTTTCCTTACCTCCCTTCCCTAAGGCTTCCGGCTTAAAAAAGAGAGAGAGAGAGAGATGGTCTCACCGTGTTGTCCAGGCTGGTCTGGAACTCCTGGGCTCAAGCGATCCTCCCGCCTCAGCCTCCCATGTATTAATAGCTGGGACTACAGGTGCACACTACCATACCCTGCTTTTTTTTTTTTTTATTATTTTGGTAGAGACAAGGGTCTCACTATATTGCCCAGGCTGGTCTCACACTCCTGAGCTCAAGTGATCCTCCTGCCTTGGCCTCCCAAAATGCTGGGATTGCAGACATGAGCCTGATACTGATCTTGAGCCGTGAAGGAGTGTTTACACATGTTGAAGGAGGAAAGAGACACAGAGAGGGGAATTACATCATCCAAATAAGTTGAGTCACTGGAAAAGCTACATCCAGGTCTCTTTGGAAAATGTAGACCCACACCTCAGTGTGTACACCTGGGGGATTGTGTAAGAGTTGCAAGGTACAGGCCAGATGTGGTGGCTCACACCTGTAATCCCAGCACTTTGGGAGGCCTGGACAGGCGGATCACCTGAGGTCAGGAGTTTGAGACTAGCCTGGCCAACAGAAGTGAAACCCCGCCTCTACTAAAAATACAAAAACATTAACCAGGCACAGTTGCAGGCACCTGTAATCCCAGCTACTTGGGAGGCTAAGGCAGGAGAATTGCTTGAACCTGGGAGGCGGAGGTTGCAGTGAGCTGAGGTCACGCCACTGCACTCCAGCCTGGGCAACAGAGCAAAACTCCATCTCAAAAAAAGAAAAAGCATTGCAAGATACAGTCTCACTATGTTGCTCAGATGACTAGTCTGGAATTCCTGGAGTTGAGGAAATGACCACAATAAGTGATCCTCCCATCTCAGCCTCCCAGAGTGCAAGGATTAGAGGCAGAAGCTACCGTTCCAGTTTGCAAGGTAAGTTTGTGGAGTTGGGGCGCATACCGGCTGAGTGTCTCTGAGGCAATGTTGTGTACTCAGGTGGACGCATGCACGCGTGGATACTTCCAGTTGAGTAACAGCATAGGGTAATATTTAACTCGCTTGGCTTCAAATCCCAGCTCTCCTCTGCTGGCTACATGACCTTGAAATCTCTCCATCTCTCTGCCTCCATTTCCCCGTATATGAAATGGGACTCACACCAATGACCACCTTGTGGGACTGTTGTCCGGAATCAGGGAGCCAGAATAGTGCGTGGTGTACAGCAGGTGCTCAGTCGGACCCACCATCATTGCTGCCAGTGAGCTGAGAGTGGGGTGCCTCCTGACGGTGTATGAGGGTTGATCTTGTTTTGGGGGAAAAAGGCAGGCTGGGCGGGGCTCAGTGGCTGACACCTGTAATACCAGTGCTTTGGGAGGCTGAGGAGGGCAAATCACTTGAGTTCAGGAGTTCAAAACTAGCCTGGGCAATATAGTAAGACCCCGTCTCTACTAAAAATACAAAAATTAGCCGGGTTGGTAGCGGACACCGGTAGTCCCAGCTACTCAGGAGGCTGAGGCAGGAGAATCACTTGAACCTGGGAGGCAGAGGTTGCCGTGAGCAGAGAGCGTACCATTGCACTCCAGTCTAGGCAATAGAGACTCGGCCTCAAAACAAAAACAAAAAAACAGGCATTCAGGCAGGCAGGAACATGTGTTGCAAAATTTCTAGGCTGGAAATGACTGCAATGGTCATCGGAAGGAAAACTGCCAGATTACATAACTCACAGAATCAGTTTTAAAAATTAAGCAGTGTCTGGGCGTGGTGGCTCACCCTGTAATCCCACCACTTTGGGAGGCCGAGGTGGGTGGGTCACCTGAGGTCAGGAGTTTGAGACCAGCCTGGCCAAGATGGTGAAACCCCGTCTCTACTAAAAATACAAAAATTAGCCAAGCATGGTGGTGGGTGCCTATGATCCCAGCTACTCTGGAGGCTGAGGCAGAAGAATCACTTGAACCCAGGAGGTGGATACTGCAGTGAGCTGAGATCGTGCCACTGCACTCCAGCCTGGGCGACAAGGCGAGACTCTGTCAAAAAAAAAAAAAAAATTAAGCAGTAAACATGTCTGAATCATCTCTCAAGAGATCTCCAAGTGATAAGAGAACAAGGCACTTGGACTCTGCCTCCTCTACTGTTTCAAAAATTAAAGTCTTTAGTGGGAAATGGGCCTTACCTATCACATTGTGTGTCTGTCCTGTTTGAAGTGTATGTTGAAAATTTGGCTTGATTGTTGTATGTAATTGCTTTTTTGGGCAGATCACTTACAAAACCTTTAAAAGAGGCAAGGTGTGGTAGCTCATGCCTGTAATCCCTGCACTTTGGGAGGCCGAGGCAGGGGGATCACTTGAAGTCAGTAGTTCGAGACCAGTCTGGCCAACATGGTGAAACCCCGTCTCTACTAAAAATACAAAAATTAGCCGGGCATTGTGACGCATGCCTGTAGTCCCAGCTACTCAGGAGGCTGAGGCAGGAGAATCGCTTGAACCCGGGAGGCAGAGGTTGCAGTGAGCCAAGATCATGCCACTGCACTCCAACCTAGGCAACAGTGAGACTCTGTCTCAAAAAAAAAAACTTTAAAAGAATAAATAAGTGACGGGAAAAAAAAGAAACGAAAGCAAGGTGCTGCTATGTACAGAATGCACGCTTTGGGGTTCAGAGCAGAAATAGGTTTGTATAAAACATTTCAGTAAGATATGCAAAAACTGAGGGACTTTTCATGGTATATGATTTTGCCTACTTGCATTTTCCATGGATTAATTTTCTTTGCTTTGTTTTCTACTTTTTTTTTTTTTAACATTAAGCACAGAATGGTGGTCAGCTTTCACACATGCAAAAAGAAACCAGTGGCCAGAGCCGTTTGGAGGAAGGAAACATTTAGCACCTAGTGACATCAAAGGCAGGAAATGGTGTTTCCCTGCTAAGGGCAGTGGAAGGGGAAGGCAGGGACGGGGAAGACCCAGGCAGACCCAGGGCAGACCCAGGAACCCCTTCAAAGAGTATGAAGACACAGCTCACGGTGCTGGGAAGTCAGCCCACCTCAGAAAGGGAATCTCAGCAGGGTAACCACCTGGAAAGAACTTTCCAACTCCCCCAGGGGAAGGACACAATTCACAGACACCAGAACACAAAGGGCACCCCCATTCTAGATATATACAATTACCTAAACGGAGACAGACATACACGCAATCTCACACACACACACACACACACACACACACACACACACACACACCTGGACGCACAATTATAAATACACAACAACAACCATCAAGGCAAGCCACAGATCAGGTGTGGTGGCTCACGCCTGTAATCCCAGCACCTCGGGATGCCAAGGCAGGCAGATCATTTGAGATCAGGAGTTCAGGACCAACCTCTCCAACACAATGAAACCCCATCTTTATCAAAAATACAAAAAAGAAAGAAAGAAATTAGCTGTGCATGGTGATGCACGCCCATAGTCGCAGCTACTCAGGAGGCTGAGGTGGGAGAATCACCTGAACCCAGGAGGCAGAGGTTGCAGTGAGCCGAGATCGCACCACTGCACTCCATCCTGAACAACAGAACGAGATTCTGTCTCAAAAAAAAAAAAAAAAAAAAAAAAAAAAAAAAAAAAAAAAAAAAAAAAAAAAAAACCAAAACCAAAAAAAAAAAAAAAAAAAAAAAAAAAAAAACCATCCCAAATACTATGCTCCTCAGACCAGATAATGATTTAATCTGTACCTATTAAAATTTTGGGTTAAGCATCCCACATATCCAAGGAAGTTTCCATTCTACTATTTTACCAGTCATTCAGTTTTGAAGGACTAGATCTGTGCTACTCACCGGCACTCATCTTTCTCTCAACAGGTAATATGTAGCCACAGGTGATGGAAAAGGGTAATACGAGTTCTTTCGAAGGCTTCATCCTGGTGGGCTTCTCTGACCGTCCCCACCTAGAGCTGATCCTCTTTGTGGTTGTCCTTGTCTTTTATCTGCTGACTCTTCTTGGCAACATGACCATCATCTTGCTTTCAGCTCTGGATTCCCGGATGCACACACCAATGTATTTCTTTTTAGCAAACCTCTCATTCCTGGACATGTGTTTCACCACAGGCTCCATCCCTCAGATGCTCTACAACCTTTGGGGCCCAGATAAGACCATCAGCTATGTGGGTTGTGCCATCCAGCTGTACTTTGTCCTGGCCCTGGGAGGGGTAGAGTGTGTCCTCCTGGCGGTCATGGCATATGACCGCTACACTGCAGTCTGCAAACCCCTGCACTACACTGTCATCATGTACCCACGTCTCTGTGGACAGCTGGCTTCAGGGGCATGGTTGAGTGGCTTTGGCAATTCTCTCATAATGGCACCCCAGACATTGATGCTACCCCGCTGTGGGCACAGACGGGTGGAACACTTTCTCTGTGAGATGCCAGCACTAATTGGCATGGCCTGTGTAGACACCGTGACGCTTGAGGCACTGGCTTTTGCCCTGGCAGTCTTTATCATCCTGGCACCACTCATCCTCACTCTCATTTCTTACGGTTACATTGCAGGAGCAGTGCTTAGGATCAAGTCAGCTGCTGGGCGACAGAAGGCCTTCAGCACTTGCAGCTCCCATCTAATTGTTGTCTCTCTCTTCTATGGTACAATCATATACATGTACCTCCAGCCAGCAGATACTTATTCCCAGGACCAGGGCAAGTTTCTTACCCTTTTCTACACAATTGTCACTCCCAGTGTTAACCCCCTGATCTATGCACTGAGAAATAAAGATGTCAAAGAGGCCATGAAGAAGGTGCTAGGGAAACGGAGTGCAGAAATATAGGAAGGGGTGATTAAATTTTAGGATTGTGTTTTGACCCATCTTCTATATATGTTGTTAGACCTAGCAAATAAAGGAATGTTTTGGCATTGCAGACTGAAGAGACATTTAATGAGATGGGGAATTCAATGGTTTAGCTAGGTCAAGAAAGTATGGGCTGAGAGCAGTGGCTCACGCCTGTAATCCCAGCACTTTGGGAGGTGGGAGTATTGCTGCCTGAGTCCAGGCATTTGAGACTTACGTGAGCAACATACTGAGACCCCCATCTCTGTGAAGAATTTAAAAAGTTAGCTGGGCATGGTGGTGCATGCCTATAGTCCCAGCTACTCAGGAGGCCAAGGTAGGAGGATTGCTTGAACCTGGGAATTTGAGGCTATAGTGAGCCACATTCATGCCACTGTACTCAGCCTGGGTAACAGAGTAAGACTCTATCAGAAAGAAAAAGAGACAGGGAGAGAGAGGAAGGAAGGAAGGAAGGAAGGAAGGAAGGAAGGAAGGAA